CATGCTAGGCAAAGCTGTACCACTGAGTTACATCCTTGGCCCCTCTACCTTGAATATTTTTATAGCTTTGTTATAGAAACATAAGAAAGAGTAAAGATCTCTTCAAGACATGCTAGTAGGAGTTCTCCCTAATATAAAATGCAGCTGAAGTATTTCTACAGAGAAGCTAAGCCTGCACAATTGTATGAACTAAGCCAGTACATAATAAATACTGAATAAATACTTATGAATTGGCATTTTTTATCTTAAGCACTTATTAGGGAATTCACAGTGTCATAAGGCACTATGCTGTTACTATTTGTGGTATCTTGCTTTTGCTTTTGTTTTGATACTGTAACACAGACATTCAATGACCACAAATAATATGTCTCCTGAAATTAATGTCTCCTTATTTGCATTTGCCACTTTCTATATTATGATAACTGTTTTACAGTAGATAGAATACACAGTTGGGAAATCATGTATTTTAAATGCAGGTTAAATACAAATATTAACCACAAATCTTGATCAGGGCATGGAGTGTCTTATTGCAATTAGGCTTTACTTAAAGAACAATTATTCTTTATAATGTCTGTCTTATCTTCTCTTATGTGTAATCTTCCAAGTTCTTTTCTAGAACTAGGGCAGACTCCAAGTACTTTGAAAGAGATCAAATGCCATGTTGTAGTACTGATTCTATTTGTGAGGCAACTTCAATTCAGTTCCTCTGTGAGCAATTTCTTGGGTATGTAGTGAGAGACATACAAAGAAATAAGGCTCAGGCCCTGTCCCCAAGTAGCTTGAAATGCATATTTCAAAGTAATACTCCGGAGTGAATACATTGACCAGAGAGGAGGGGACTTTTCAGTTGGCCCTTAACTATGCATAAGACTTTTATGATGCAGGCAAAGAATAGAATCAGAGTGACTCCACATAGAAGACAGCAGAAGCAAAACTAAGAGCTTACTGGAAAGGGGAAATGCTAGGCCAAGGGAGGCAACCTGGGTTTAAAATAGTCCAAGCCATTTTTCGTATCACTTCTAGAAAGACGGCTTACTATAATGGGGAATCAGTGACTGGGGAACCAGAAGAGAAGCTGGTCATCATCTAGCTATATGACAAGTTTTAGTGAGAACTGCCAGAACAAATTCAGCATCAAAAAGAGACTGCAGAAAGACTATATTATATTTAGGTATGAGTAAGACGAGAACATGAAAGATCATGATAGCTTCCAAACACAATTAGCATTGACTTGCAATCTATCACTTAAGCCAGCCTGCGAGAAACTGCAGCCTTGGTACTTCTAAAGAAGAACAGTAATTTATGACAGGTGAAAATGATAAGAAATTTCAGTTTCAGTCTACAGAAATGAAACTTTATTAACACATATGAGGTTTATTTGCAATAGTACCCTTTCCTCCCTCCCTTGCCTTTTTGTTCTTGCTGCTTTTCTTTTTTAGCAGTATTTTTAAAATTTGACACAGTAAGAAGTGTCAGTGTAGTGGTGGACGGATTGGCTTCTGGCAATATGAAGCTGACAAAATGTACCTCTCCTCTAGCTGCTACATTCACCAGTCTTGCACTAGCTACAACTTCTTTTTCCCCAAACTAAAAAAATAAAATCATCATAAGAAAGCAATTTAATACCACTGAAAGTATTAGAATTCAACAATTTTATCTGAAGGTGAATTTAGGTGAGGAAGCGCAGTTGTTTCAGCAAGCACAAATAACGAAGGGACAAGTGTCTTGTTTATGTGCCGTGGGAGACTAATTACACAAGTGCTTGTTGATATGTTCAACAGCTATTTTTTTCATTTTTCTTATTTTTGAGCACACTTTGTAATCATACCTAATTTGGAGCAACTTAGTACCGAATTGCTTTCTGAGGGGAAAAAAAGTGATTAAGACACAGGATAAATTATGCCTCAATAATGGTAAGTAGGAAAAAAAGAAGTAGGGTGAATCTGTTTGAAAAGCAATACCATAAGATTCAGAAAGAAAATGATAATGTTTCTAATGACAAACATCTTGGTAATATGTTAATTGTCATTATTACTAACAAAGTAATTATAATCATTCTTGATATTTGTACAATAATTTTTTAAAACTTGGAAGCTTGAAGTACTAAAATACTTTATCATTTTTTACCTTCACATAGCTTGTCATGTTAAGAGGAGTTTGGAATTATAATCCTCAAATAACATAACAGATAGAATTGAGTCTGCTATTACAAGACTATATGATAAATAAGTTGATAGAAGGGCTCAGAAATACACTCTTTTAATTGTTTACTCAAAGTATTTTTTCTGGTTTCTCTGTTGTTTTTGTTCCATAATGTCCCTCTTGGCTCCTTCTAAACCACCAAAGACAGCATGTCACTTAAATCATTATGGGAGGTGGGGGTCAGGAAAGGACATAACAGTGGTATCTTAGACTCAATAATGATGTGAACTTCATTAAAAAGCATGTATAATTGTCCTTGGTCATTTTTTTTCTTTTAAAGATATCTCTGTATCTCTGTCTCTGTCTCTCTCTCTCTCTCTCATTTAATTCAAAAGTCATAATGTTTATTGTTAAAAAAATCTACCAAAACGGGGGCTGGGGATGTGGCTCAAGCGGTAGCGCGCTCGCTTGGCATGCGTGCGGCCCGGGTTCGATCCTCAGCACCACATACAGACAAAGATGTTGTGTCTGCCAAATACTAAAAAATAAATATTAAAATTCTCTCTCTATCTCCCTCTCTCACTCTTTCTCACTCTGTCTCACTCTTTCTTGAAAAAAATCTACTAAAATGAAAAAATACATAAATTACAATCAAATTTTTTATTCCATATCTTACTGTTAATAATTTTATGTTTTCTTCTACATATTTTGCTGTATACACCTATATAGTTTTATTATTTATAAAGACTGGGATGTAGAATAACATAAGTTCTGCCATATTTTTCACTAAATGTACCATTGTCCTTTTATGTTAACACATGCAGATTTACCCTCATCAATTTAATGACCACACTGTTTACCTTTCTGTCTTGATTAAAAGTTATTATGGAACAAATTAAACTTGCTTATACTATACAATTCTACGTAACAATCATGTATTTTTAGTAATTTTATCATATTTCCTACAAGCATAAATTCACACTCCTCATCTGGCATGCACTGACATTAGTGGAGAAGCACTTTCCTCCCTCTAATCCCTCCAAAATTTTGCTTACGTCTGTTATATGCATCTCCTTTCTTCTGCAACAGATGAACAGCAAGCATTCAGAGAAGAAGAGACAGGAATCAGTTTGGGAGCTTCTTAAGCACAATTGTGCAGAAAAGAATAAACTCCTTATGGAGAAGTATTTTTATATTACAGTAATTGCCATTCTAGGAACAGGTGTTTGGAGCCCCACTCAAGGGAGAACTGGAGCTGATAGAAGTAGAAGAGGGGAAGATGAAGTTTCCCTGGCTACAGCCCCATGGGACAATCACAGGAACAAGGGAGGTGATCAAGTAGAGTCCCTGGAGCCTACTGCTACCCCCCAGTGCCTTCAGCAGGGACAGAGTCCTACAGAGATGATGACACCATTAGCTTATGTGACAACGTTCACTATTCAATGTTCAGACACAGCCAGGATGTAATGACACCAGTATTATAATATCATCATTCCTGGTTTTATATCAGCATATAAAGAGTTTGATGATAAACCAACTATTATAACCCAAGAATCTTCTTGATATCGGTAAGCAAAAATTATCTCTTGTGAAATGCTTTGTAGTCTGCAAGAAGTTTACACATTCATGAGCTCATTTTGAGGTCCCACTGTGTGTGTGTTTCTTTGTTTTATATTATTTTTACTTATAGATGGACACAATACCTTTACTTTATTCATTTATTTTATGTGGTGCTGAGGAATGAACCCAATGCCTCACATATGTGAGGCAAGCGCTCCACCACTGAGCCACAACCCCCAGCCCCACCATGTTTTAAACATAATCCTGCGCCTTATAGGTGGAGAAACCTAGCTCAGAACTTAAATGATCTATCCAAGTCACAGAGTTGGTAATGGAAGGGCTGGACTTAACAGCCTTCTTTGTTCTGGTTCAACACCCAATACTCCTCCAGGAGAACAATATATTTCCCTTTAGTCCCCAGGAACCAGACAGGTAACAAACTTAAAAAAAAGAAAAAAAGAAAAAAAAAGCACATGCAAAACACCTCAGGAAATTTTAAAATAACACTATTATAGCCAAACTCCTTAGTCAGCTCTGATTTATTATTTTTTCTCTGCTGTTGAGTTTGCTTACCAACTATTATAATCCAAGGGAACAGCAACTTCATCATTCACAAAAACAAATAAACCAGGTTACTCAACATGTTTCAATAACATGTTTCAGAGGCAGAATAAATGGGAGAGGCTTGGAGATAAATATTAACTCAAAAACTCAGGAGGTTTTGAAGAGGGCAATCTCTTATGTGTATCCTAAGAGTTTGGATTTTGAATTAAACAGAAAATTATAAGGAGAATGGAATTAGAAACTCTATCTAGAACTTGTGTGATTTGAACTGCAATGTATCTCACAGGCTATTTGTCATTCTAGAGTGCTAGAAATAGGCTTAAAAGACGTAGTTCCTATAGAATTTAGCTCCATAGCTTGTCCATAGCTAGTCCATAGCTAGCTTTACAAGTATTAGCTATCACATAACACTTTCTACAGGCCAGAAACTATCATAGACACCTCATATATACAGTACCTTCATCTAATTCTTATCATAATCCTATGAAGTAGGTACTGTTACTATGGTCTTCATTTTATGGAAGAAGAAACTGAGGCACAGAGAAGTCAAATTACTTGCATAGGGCCAGGCTGTCAGAGCCAAGACTGGCTTCAGCATCTGGGACCAGGGTTTGTTCTAAACCCTACACTGCCACCTGAATGTCCTTTATTCCTCAGATATATCTGTTCTGCCTAAGGAGTGTATGTGGGCTTCCTTGTACCGTCTGTAATCCATCATTTACTTTCTTCCTCAGGCCACCCGTGGCGAGGGCCAGGAAAGGACGGCGCGTGGAGCCCTGGGTTGTTGGCCTCATCACCTTTTTATCCCTGATTATCCTAGCAGTGTGCATTGGACTCACTGTTCATTATGTGAGATACAGTAAGTATGAGCTGCCCTAGAATCATGTGATTTACCCCAAGCATTTCCTCATGTACCTTCCTGTTTTGTTTTGCCTGGGGCTTGTTCATTCATTGCTGTGACTCATTTGCATAACCCAGACACATCTTTACCTGCTTCTTTGTCTTTCACTTCAATCCACGAGCCAAGGAGGGGTTTTCTTTCTCTCTTTGATATAGCAATACTCCCTGATGGGACTAGCATGCTAGTTTTCATATTAATTAATAAGTGATAATCAAGTCTTAAAGAGAAAAACCACAGGTTAGCTCGATTTACTGTCTTAACTTGTTTGAGAAAAGTAACTTAAAATAATTTTTAACTGAAGTCTTGACATCCCTATAAATTAATTATACAATAAAGATAATCTTTATAGAGAAATAGGCTCTATTCTGTACTAACAAATTGGAAAGATCCCCATAGCTGTATGATGTTGAATAAGTGCCTATTTCTTTTATTTAAAATCTTATCCTCAGCTATAGTGTGATTAAAGAAGACAGGATATGCTGAGGTTAATTTTAAGAGGTTCACTCTGCGGTTATCAGATATCTCACTGCCAGATGAACTGCTAGTTGCTATGTTATTAGAAAGGTCTCCAGGGTACTGTAGAACAATTCTTCCAGGGTCTAACAACCCTTCTGAAGTTTCCTTCTATCATGTCTTGGGTTTTAATTAGTTGACTCAACTATGACCTCTTAGTTTAATATCTCCCTCTGTGATTAGATTATTCTTTGATATTCAAGGCCTTGAAATCATGAAAGTTAATCACTTGATTCTAATTTCATTGGGAATTTGTTAAAGGTGGTTTCCTATAAAGAAATAGAATGATACGTAATCTGGTCATCTTCCTCCATTATCCACACATGATCAATCTCATCTTCCAAAGCGAAGTAGACTAATTCTGGGCAGTTTAAGAAAAAAATATTTAAAACTCTGTGTGTGTGTGTGTGTATGTGTGTGTGTGTGTGTGTATTAGAATTTGCCCAAATGCAAGTCTTTAAATTCAGGGTATTTTCATTTGAGAACAGAGATTTCTCTGGTAAATGCTTTTAATAAAAATGTGTTACTGATTACAATTCTTTAGTTCTGTTATGAATTTATCAAGTCCCATTATGTCGTGAGGATTGTGACTTCTTCCCATGGATGCCTAAGACTATGACTTATTCACTTTTATGTTTCCAGAACTTCACAGAATTTCAGCACCTATTAGTTACTTTATAACTAATTTGAATATTGAGTGGTGAAAATTAATGAATCATATCTATGATTTTTTTGGGGGGGCGGGGATTCTCTGACTTCACATGAAGTTCCTAGTAATGCCAGGGGCCTGATCACTTTCATGAGAGAAAATGTTATTTGCTACTTCTCCTTTGCCTGTTCCCAAGCCAAGTTTTATAATATTGTATGTCTTATTCATATACATACTGTGAAGAACTGGCACTATTCTTCTAGTTACCAATTCCTGAATCCCATTGTTGAGATGAGCAGTTCGGAAATATGGAACACACAGCTTCCACAGCCCACACGGTACACCTGAATAAACAATGATTATTATGAGGTGTGTAACTGCCGTCTTTGTGCCCTGCCCTCTTGGCAGATATAAACTGACAACAAAGTAAATATAAGCGACCAAATAAAAAACATCTGTTGCAGAAATAGATATTGATAAAGGTAATCAGATTAGGAAAAGTATCATTTTGACCCTTACTTCACAAAGTTCAGGATATCTTAGATTTGTGTGTGTGGTCGGTGTCCAGGGCCTTAGGGTTTCCATTTCTGCACCTTTTTGATTTTTATTTTTTTTGTGTGTGTGTGTGTGTCTGTGTGTGGTGCTGGGGATTGAACCCACAACCTTGTGCTTGTGAGAGCTATATCCCCAGCCCTACCTTCATGATTTGAATGTCAGATGGTGAATCTGTCAATGAGTGACATCCCTGAAAATTATTGAATCACAAACCTATTAGAAAATTATCAACAAACTCAACATTTGTCCCAATTTTTCTTACTTTCCTGTTAATAGTCCAAATCATACTTTTAAATAACTAGATAAACCATATAATTCTGAAAACTGTAAATATGTTTTAAAACTTACTGGCCTGTTTACAAAGCAAAGTAAAATATTTGTTATAGATAAGTTGTTCATGTGGCTGTGATTGAAGCATACAAAATTACTGATATTTGCTATGCAAATGACAATTTCAAAGGATTCAACCAAACAATTCAAAGAATCCAGGTCTAAGGATATAGATTAGGTCTAAGGATAAGGTCTATTAGCTTCTGCTCTGGAACCTTACTATTTAATGTGTAATTAAGTTCTAACTGCATTGGCATCACCTGGGAGCATGCTAAAAAATATAAAATCTGTGTCCAATGTTAGACCTAATGTGCCAGAATCCCCAGGTGGTCCATTTTTACATTATAGTTTGAGAAGCAACATTCTAGAACAATGAATGTAGTTACACAGAAAGTTATGGCTAACCATGAGACAGATGTAAAAAATGCAAATATAATAAAACACATACTATTTTCATTAAATTATAAACTTTATTTGAAATGTATATATATATTGCCGGGGACCTGCCTACATTTCATGCCACACTGGCCCTTCAAAGTTATTCAGGGAGAGGGAAGAGAGGAAGGATAAGGAAGGGCAAAAACTCCCTCCTTCCTCATGTAGGTTGCTGGTGCTCAGGAGACCTTGAACTTGGATATCTCCAACCTCCCACCCTCATCCTTACATCTCCAGCTATTCTCCAGGCCTTGACAGAGTCTGACAAACAACTTCCTTCTCAAACCTACCAAATCCTTTGAATGGTCCTGGGATTCTTTTGAAATTTAACAAATTTACCAATAGTTTTTTGAATGAAAGTTACAATTAAAAACCCATAGTTTCCATGAAAGACAATGTTTTTTTGTTGTTGTTTTTTTCCCACTTCAAGAAGCAGTATTGCAAAAAAAAATCTGTGCTTTAGGAGCTAAGTTTTGGCTTGAAATTCAATTGTCTTCTGTTTTCGACTGACCGCAGCTCATTCAGCCATAGAACAGGTAATTTCAGGCTGCCATTTGCCTGCGGCTTGCAGACAGATTGCTAGGGTTCAGTGCCTGGGGGCTTCTTAGAACCTGATCTTATCGGAGGGAACACCGAGCGCAGGGCGGCCGAGTTCCGGCTCCCGGAACCGCCCTGGCCCAGGGCTGGGGAGCCTGCGGAGGCTGCTTCTTGGACCCTGCTCCTATCAGAGCATACACCAAGCACTAAGCGGCCGAATTCCGGCTCCCGGAACTGAGCCCGCGGGGACTGCTTCTTGGAGCCTACTCTTATCGGAGCTTACACCGAGCACGGAGCGGCCGAGTTCCGGCTCCCGGAACTGCCCTGGCCCAGGCCAGAAACTGCTTCTCGGTCCGGGTCCTGCTGAGGGCCGGTCAGGACTCACCCGTTGCTTTGGTTGCCCGGCAAGGGGAATGAAATGCTGCCATTCGCATAGGATACCAACATGGCAGAGATCTCATGACATTAGAAAGCGGCGGAGGAGAGAACTTCATCAATACCAGCGGCGACAGAAACAGTTGGTCTCCTGGTAGGGGGGGTGAGGCACAGACACCCAAGTCTCCTCAATTTGTGGTCGAGCCAGAGGGGAGGAGCTGGGCCGCCACCAGCGCCCGGAGCAGGCCCAGGGGCTCGCCAGCGTGGTGACCGCATGACCCCAATTGGAGAGGGGGCAGAGCGGAGCCGCCACCCGCAAGGTGGGCAGACCCGCGACCCAGTGGTACATGGGCGTGGTAGGAGGGGCAGGGCAGAGCCGCTGCCAGCGCTTGCAAGGTAAACAGACCTGTCACAGACTGGCGGGTCAGGCCCAGTGGCCTGCCAGTGTGGTACACACGTCACCCCAACTGGAGTAGGGGCAGAGCAGATCCTTCTCCCACGCCCGGATCAGGCCCTGCCGGTGTGGTGGCCACGTGACCCCAATTGGAGTGGGGGCGGAGCGGAACCGCCACCCGTGCCCTCAGGGTGAGCAGACCTGTGACCAACCTGCAGATCAGGCCCAGGGGTCCGCAGGCGTGGTAGGAGGGGCAGGGCAGATCCGCTGCCCGCGCCTCCAAGGTAGGCAGACCTGCGACAGACCGGCGGATCAGGCCCAGGAGCCTGCCGGCGTGGTACACACACCACCCTAATTGGAGTAGGGGCAGAGCAGAGTCGCCTCCCGTGCCAGGAACAGGCCCAGCGTCCTGCAGGCGGGGTAGTCACGACACCCCAATTGGAGTAGGGGCAGAGCAGAGCCGCCACCCGTGCCCGAAAGGTGGGCAGATCTGCGACCGACCAGCGGGACAGGCCCAGTGGCCTGCCGGTACGACAGACACGTCACCCCATTTGGAGTAGGGGCAGAGTAGAGCCGCCGCCCGTGCCTGCAGGGTAGGCAAACCTGCAACCGACCAGCAGATCAGGCCCGGTGGCCTGCCGATGTGGTACACTCGTCACCCCAATTGGAGTAGGGGCAGAACAGAGCTGCCGCCAGCACCCAGAACAGGCCCAGTGACCTGCCGGCGTGGTAGCCACGACACCCCAATTGGAATAAGGAGAGAGCAGAGCCGCCGCCCGCGCCTGCAGGAAAGATACGCAAGCAGTATGAAAAGACAAAGAAAGAAAGGACCACAAGCAATGCAGGTCAACGCAACTTTAGAAGAGGTAACAGCTGCAGCAGATGGAATGTCAGATAAAGAATTCAGGATATACATGCTTCAGATGATCTGGAGTATCAAGGAAGACATTAGACAGCAAAATCAGACAATGAAAGATCACTTCGACAATGAATTACGCAAACAAATCCAGGAAGCAAAGGATCAACTATACAGGGAGATAGAGGTTATAAAAAACAAACAAACAGAAATCCTAGAAATGCAGGAAGCAATAAACCAACTTAAAAACTCAATGGAGAATACTACCAGCAGAGTAGAACACTTAGAAGATAGAACATCAGACAATGAAGACA